GCTCCAGGCTTGGGCAGAGCGGGGACCGTGCCGGGACAGGGAGGACTGAGCACCCACTGAGGGCCAGCACTGCCCCGCACCTGGCCTGGTGCCACTCGCTTCGTTCTCCTCAGGCACCCCTGCTGCCCTCTGTGGGTGGCTCTGTCCCCCTTTTGCCAGTAAGGCCCTGAGAGGTGGGCCCTGAGAAGGGAAAAGGGAGCTTCCCAAGGCCACCCAGCCAGATCCAAAGCCAGGCTGTTCTGATGTAAGAAGACATGCTGTCTCCCCTGGGCAGCACTGGTTGGTGAGGCGGACAAGAAGGCCCCAGAGCCCTGGCGAGATGGCTTCCTGCAGCAGCTCTGTCCTCTGGCGGGAGACTGGAAGGATTCCTGGCCTTGGGGGTCTGTGAGCCTGGCTCTGTCCTCCACCCAGCTTCCTCCCACTGTGGCCTCTCCAAACCTAGGGGAGCCCCAGGGCCCCCCAACTAATGTGTTTGCATGTGTATGACCTCAGGGCTGCCCCACCTGCCCCCCCCCCAGAGAAAGGGGTGGAGAGAGAGGACTCTGCCCTCTGATGGGTCCCTCCCACGTCCCTCTCCTGCACTGTCCCAACTCTGACTGAACCTGCAGAGTCCTGCTGACCTGCAAGGCCTCCTCCTCACCCCAACCAGCCCCACTGGCCTTTCCAGCTTGTGACTCCGCCCCCGTCACATAGCCGGCTCCCCCCACCCCTGGCCGCCCCCCCTTCCTGGAGGCAGGTGCTCCCTGCCCACCTAGTTCTCTCTTCCTGGAATACTCTAGGCCCCTGCCCCTCGACTCCGCCACTCTATGCATCAAGAATACTCTCCCAGGGGCTCCCCCATTTGCAAGTCCCTCTTGCACATGTAATCACAATCATTATGATTGGATTATACCGGAGTGACCTAGCACATCCTGTGTGTCGGGTCAGGCCTTGAATCCAGCCACCGAATCTTTGCAGCAACATAGAGAAGGCACAGTTAGTCCTCACTTCACAGATCTGGAGACTGAGGGGGATCCCATGTCCCAGGCGGTGGCGGCTCAATCTCCGTGTTCATCCTGCTCGCCCTTGTAATCTACTGAGTCACCCAACTAGCCATAAACTCGGGCATCGAGGAATAGCGGCCACAAAGCTGACGGTGTGACCAGACGTGGTTGCTGTGTTGTAAGCAGGAGGCAGCGCCAGGAGAGCCCTCTTTTGCCTCTTATAAGCTGTGTGGCCTCAGGCAAGAGCCTGACCCCTCTGAACCTCTACTTCCCCTCCTCTGTGAGATGGAAGTGATAAGGCACTAGCCTGTGGCTGGTCAGAACTCAAACCCAGCTACACCATTTCCAGCCCTTCTGGTCCTGCCACTTCCCCATGGAGAAACCTTCCCTCGGGTTAGATTTGTCGCTGCAGGACTTTTCCAACAGCTTCCTGTTACCTGTCTGACCTCTGCTGGGGCTGAATTTTCCACTTGGTTCTACTCTGTCATACTCTGCTGTGGGCCAGTCAGTCCCATTTTTGGACCTCAGTTTCCTATATGAGAAAATCCCAGGGGGATGGACCGGATGCCCTAGGTCCCCTTCCTGTCCTGGCTGGACCCAGTATAAGGACCCACTGAGTAAAGGATGAGGCGCCTCATGTGGGACATGGTGACCACCAAGTGGCCCAAGACCCCATGTACGCCAGGCTCTGCCTATGAGGCTAAGCCACTTCACTGTGATCTCATTTCCCCCTCCCAACCCTAGAGGTGTTATTATGCCCCTTCTTCCCATATGAGGACTAGGGCACAGAGAGGTTAGTGTACATGCCCAAGGCCACACAGCTAGATGGTGACAGAGTCAACCTTCCAGCCCAGATCTGATCCCAGACCCAAAGGACCCTCCAGTGAAGGAAGGCAGAGCGCAGGCCTCCTCGTAGTCCTACCCTAGGGGTTCTGGGTTTGGTTTCTCTAAGTTAGCTTTGTTCTGTCAGGCTCTGTAGGCCACCAGAGGAGAGCTTCCTGCCTGCCCCCTCCAACCCTCACCTCACCCCCCATGCAACACACACACAGACACACAGACACCTTTCAGGGTAAGCTCCAGCCCAGTCCAGCCTCTTCGCTGGGCAAGATTCATTCTGCACCAGTCACGCTGTCCCCGGCCCTGTGGTAGGTGCTAAGAGAGTGGCATCTGTCAGACATAGCCCTCCAGAGCCCATGAGACTGACAGTGGACCTTGTAATTAAAATACAAAGTGTGCCACAAAGCTGAAGTCGAGGGCACTGTGGACATAGAGCAGGGCCCAGATGGGGCAGCTTCCTAGGGATATTTGATCTAGGTCTTATGAGAATTGTATGCACCTGGCATGTGGGGGAATCACGTGGGTGGGCGTGGCAGACCGGGAATAGCACGTGCACAGGCCTGGGGAGAGCGCTGGAGGTGCTCTGTGCACTGGAGCGGCATTGTCCGGTTTGACTCTGGAATAGCAGCTCTGCGCCTGCATTGGTGGGGAGCCGCTAGTCGGGTGTGGCTAAAGAGTGCTTGGCATGTGCGATCAGTGCAACTAAGGAACTCAATGTTCTGTCTGTTTTAATTTTCACTAATTTTATTTTAAATAGCCACCTGTGGCTGGTGGCTACTATATTGGACAGTGTGGGTCTGGGCCAAGAGAAAAGACTGGAGAAATTTGGGGCCAGTGGTGAAGAGCCTTGGAGCCCTTCTGCGGAGAGGCCGCGGGAGAAGTGTGGACACTTCTGTCCTTTACAGTCACCGCTCAGCTGCACTGTGGCCTTTGGGGGAAGGGTGGGGGGAGCCAGAGAGCCTGGAGCTGCAGTCCAGAAAAGAAGTGATGGAAAATGATCTGGGGCAGGGGATGTAGAGAGGAGAGAGCACATTTCTGAGCAACCAGGATGACTGACTGGGTTGGTGGGTGGGCAGTGTCAGGAATGACCCCAGATTTCTGGCCTGAATGGCAGTGGGGTGTAGGGGTGCCTCCCCGATGCCCCCCAGCATGCACTGTGATATTGATGTCCGTGCCCCTGTCTTCCCCTCAACTCATCTGCCCAGGCATGATGGATGGGCCATTTTACCTCACCCCTCTCTCTGCTGCTGACACATCAAACTGGGGGGCCCCCTGAGGCCTCAGCACATGTTTGTGAAGTGGGTGAGTGAGTGTTCCGTGCTCGGGTCCAGGAGGACGGGGCGGCCTGCTCTCCCAAGTCCTTGCCCTGAAAGCAGAAAGGAATCTGTCCAAATCCCTCAGCACCCTGAGCAATGTGAGGGTCATGTCCGGGGGCAGTTTGCTGGGAGAATGTGAAGAGCTGCCTGGGTGGCTGGGTCTCGATCCCCAAGGACCACCAGCGGGGAGGATTGTAGCACTTGGCCCCTCTCCTCAGACATCTGGGTCTCAAGCAGGCAGTGTCCCAAGCTGGACGGCCCTGGGGCTGCCAGGGAGGGCAAAGGAGCCGTTATGCTGCCTCTTAGGAGGACGAGATGGTCTGTTCCAGTGACTCAGAGGCAAGTCAATGGGAATGCCTTTCAGCTGCGGGTTTTGTGACCTGACTGATGTAGCTGCAGAGAGAAGGGCTATCTTTCTCCCGTTCTACAGGAAAGGCCCCAGGTTGCTGGTTAATGGAGCCAATTCACACTGGCCTCTGAGAGCTGATGACTAAATCTCCTCCCATCTCTCTGCCCCGTGATGTCACAATGATAGCTTGAAATCACGGGTGGTGGGAGCATTTACACCCCAAAATTTGGCAAACACATGAGTTGGGGCTTTTTCCCCCCTGGGGCCAGCTTCCCAACAATCATGAGTGCAGGGCCCACGGTCAGCAGGGCTCACACTCCTCCTTCCTTCTTCCTCGGGGTTCAGCTGTGGGGTCCACCGTTATGGTTGTCTTATGGCCTGATAGCTTTACTTTCTCTCAGGTGCAGACCACCATTGATAAGAACCTGGTCACCTTCCTTGTTAGTTACATCTTCTCCCAGGCAGGGCCTGTGGCTGCTTCCCTGCTAAGTCCCCAGCGCCTGCTCCATAGTGGTTGCTCAATAAATATCTGTGGTGTGAATAAGGGATCATAAGCAAAGATATTTTGCTGTCATGTTACTACTTAGTCTGTAAAATTGGTTGGACTAGGCCCTCCCTGGTGGTGCAATGGCTAAGGACGCAGCACTGCAAGCTGGCCACAGCCACCTCAGTGCAAGTT